GACACAGTACAGGAGATGACCAGAGACTGCGGACACAGTACAAGAGACGACCAGAGACTGCGGGCACAGTACAGGAGATGACCAGAGACTGCGGACACAGTACAGGAGACGACCAGAGACTGCGGACACAGTACAGGAGATGACCAGAGACTGCAGACACAGTACAGGAGATGTCCAGAGACTGCGGGCACAGTACAGGAGATGACCAGAGACTGCGGGCACAGTACAGGAGATGACCAGAGACTGCGGATATAGTACAGGAGGTGACCAGAGACTGCAGACATAGTACAGGAGATGACCAGAGACTGTGGACATAGTACTGGAGATGACCAGAGACTGCGAACATAGTACAGGAGGTGACTAGAGACTGCGGACACAGTACAGGAGATGACCAGAGACTGCGGACATAGTACAGGAGGTGACCAGAGACTGCGGACACAGTACAGGAGATGACCAGAGACTGCGGACATAGTACTGGAGATGACCAGAGACTGCGAACATAGTACAGGAGGTGACCAGAGACTGCGGACATAGTACAGGAGGTGACCAGAGACTGCGAACATAGTACAGGAGGTGACCAGAGACTGCGGACATAGTACAGGAGATGACCAGAGACTGCAGACAGTACAGGAGATGACCAGAGACTGCAGACAGTATAGGGGATGACCAAGAGACTGCCGAAAGTACAGGAGATGACCAGAGACTGTGGACCTTTGGGGAGGGAGGGGGAGCAGGTACCTGAATTTGACAGGTACCCGCTCCCACTTCCACGGAGTTGTCCTCCCTTCAGTGTGGGCACCCGTTGTGAAAGAAGCACTGCACTTTATGAATGGCCCGGCATCTTCTGGGACACATGACAGGTCCCAGAAGACGTTGGGTCATTCACAAAGCGCAGCGCTTCTCACTCATGCGCAGTGGGCACCCGGCTGTCACAGCCGGGTTCCCACACTAAAGATGCCGGTGCGGGAAGACTACAGCACTGGATTGAGGATCAGGTAAGGTCCTGCTGCAGAGAAGATCTGAGCGGTCGGCCTGGTATTCTGAGACGGTGTCAGCGGCGGAAATACAGGACCGCCCGCACCATATTCGCTCCTTAAGACACACTGACATTTTCCCCCCCCTTTTGGGGGGTAAAAAAGTGCGTTTATGGAGCAAAAAAATACGGTAGGTAGTATGATGTGCTGAAATGCACATCAACTGTTCCCTGCTGTAGCTGGCGCTGTCACTAGCCTGCATGGTAAAATGCTGCATTTTACCATATAGGCAGGGGCGTCCATAGGGTTGGTGTCACCTGGTGCAGTAACACTTGGTGTCACCTCTCCGACGATCCCCGCAGGATGGATCGGATCTGCGGATTGAGCATAATGTATCGAAGTCTGATCCATTATGCTCCCCAATTCGCAGATCCAATCCATCCTGCGGTGATTGTCAGCTAGCAACCTATACGGGGTTAACTGATCTCTCCACGAAAAGGAAAATTTTTAAAGCAAGCCGACAATCCCCGCAATATGGATTGGATCTGCGGATTGGGGAGCATAATGGATCGGATTCCAATCCGCTCCATCTTGTGCGGATCGTCGGCTTGCTTTAAAACGTTTCTTTTCGTGGAGTTCGTGGAGAGGGTCCGGTGTCACCCCGTGCGATAGGTGTCACCCGGTGCGGCACGCAGTCCCTGCACCTGCCTAGGGACGCCACTGCATGTAGGCTAGTGTTAACATAGCCGTATTTTCGTTTTACGTAAAGCAAGGAAGGGTTAGATCCCCTGTCAGGTTTTTGCTGCTGTGTCCCCGTTTCAGATTCTCCCTTGCTTCCTGTCTGGTTGTACTGTTTTCACTCTGGGAAATCCCTTTAACATAGCCCTGGATATCAATAAAAACGTGATGGAGTCTCTTCCTTCCTGACTGTATCCAAATTTTGAAAATTAGCTTGGACATACTGTGAAGAAATAGGCAGGGTAGGGTTAAGAAAATTCAGCTTGATTGTTTAAAAAAAAAACCATGAAAACTTCCATTCACCATGAGATAAAATATGACAATGTTGTCATTAGTGCACATCACAACATAAACACATGATATCTTTAAATAACTTACCTTTCCATTAGAAGTGTGTGGAACTAGGCAACACCTCGCTTATGAAGGATGAAACGTTATCTTTATTCCTAGGATATCACAGCTACAGATAGGAGTAAAATCGCCAAGTCTAACACCTCTGTCCTATGATGTATGCAGATTTACAAGCAAATGTGGATTGAATCATACCAGATTCTTTTCATGCCCGGGAGACACAGTTGCAGCTTTCAACTGCCTATATGGGTGTACGTGGGTAAACACTGTACTTGTGTAAACGCATGCAAGGTTGCCTTATGTGCTTTACACTTGTGTGCAAGTAAGGCAGCCTATAGATGGATCATTTTTTTTCCTTCAGCCAGTGGGTTGAATGAAAAAAAAACTGACTCAATCCCCCATCCACAAACTTGATGTGGATGGGGGAATCCTCCCTGCTGAGTCTTTGTATTCTGAAAGCAGGGAGATTTCCCCGCCACTATAATACTCTGATTAGTGCTGCAGTCTATAGCCTGCAGTGCTGATCAAGCAGGGAGAAATCCGACAGGGCGGTTGTACAGAAGTCGAACTCCCTGCTCGGTCCCTGCTGAACAGCCAAATTTCAAACCATTTGTAGCTGGCTTAAGGCACATACCCATGTATAGCTTGCATGCAGCCATTTATTAATATTAACAGCTGTATGCTGCAGCTGCTTTGCCATCGTTTATGTGAACACCAGGCAGAGAATGGAAATTTTGTCATTCTGAATGGTCCCCAATGCCCATTTGCAGTCATGTTTATGGCTAGCTTATATAACAAATAAGTGAATCCTGTGATTTGCGTTTTTACATCATTAAAACACAGAGCTTTTTATTTTTAATCTGCAGTATTTATTGCCATGGGTCCAACCACTTTATATTATTTTCAAACTGTTTTTTAATTTAATCTACTCATTTTTTTACAAACTGTTTCTTTTGCAGCTCCTTCTGGTTATATGTAAATAGTGCTAATTTTTTTTTTGCTAAGTTTTGCAGGCTTTTAAAGCTGAATTCTAGATATAAAAGACACAAATCGATTTCGTTAAAATAATATGAAAGGCAATTAAAAAAAAAAAAAAAAAGTCATACTAACCTGCCCTGTACAGTGGTTTTGCAAAAAGCAGCTTCAGTCCTCCGCTTCAGCGCTCCTGGACCCCTCCCTCCTTCCCTCTCTCCTCCCTAGTGCCCCCAGAGCACCCATTCACACACAGAGCTGCATCTCAGCCCTGCCCCTCTCTCTCATTATTGGTTCACTGGCTGTAAGTGACAGCTCCTGCTGCTGTCTCAGCCCATGAGGAAAGAGAGTCCCTGGAGAGCAAAGACTCTCGTGCTTATCGCTGGAGCTGATGCAAGTATTAGGGGGGTATCGGGGTTGCTGCTCACCAAAGGGTTTTTTACCTTCATGCATAGATTGCATGAAGGTAAAAAAAACCTTGATCCCTTAAAGCCTAGTTTAGCTGCAAATTAAAACAGAAAAGCCAACATAAGGGACAAAACATACGCTGCATCCACACCTAAACATATTGACAATGTGCAGAAACTCCCACTGCATCTATGCGCCTTTTGCTGCGCTCTTGCAATACACACATAGAGCAGCACATTTATTTCAGTAGACTTCCTAATGTGTGATAAATGCATCAAAGCAGCTCATTTTTCAACTTTTTTTGTGCATTGAGCTTTGCTGAACTGCATGTTTTGATGCATCTGTTGCGTGTTTTCCCACTCTACTTGCTGCGTTTTGGATGCCTTTAGCAATGAAAGGCACTCAAGCACGACACGTTTATACATGTTTCATAAATGCAGGTATTTGCACACTTTTACTAAACATTCAGGTGTGACTGAAGTCTTACAGTTAGTATCATGTGTCCCTTTTGTTGATTCTTCTCCATTCAGTAAAAATCTCCTGTTGATCCCCCGACAATCTTCCACTGCGGCGGTGGTTAATATTGCTAAGGAGCTGTCGGGAGCTTTTATCAAGAGAGCTTGACGATGTCCAACGTTTCCTGCCGGATTCATCATTCAGAAAGCATGCTGATAGGAAGAGAATGTTGAGTGACAGTTTGATTAGCTCATCACTGGGCCGCTTCTTTTTTCCCAGTCACAGGCTAAGGCGTTTCAGAGGTGTTTCTTTTCACCATTTTCAGTGGTTCAGTAAGTAGGAGGACAGGCAGTAGATACTGATTTTGTAAGTGCTGTTTCTGCTTTATTGTTTGGCTAATGGCATTTAGCAGTTTTTTTGAGTTTATATTTTTTCATGTCTACTCTTCTCTCCTTCCTAGTGTATTCCTTTGCATTCACTAACATAAACTAAGGCGATCCCCACATTCATGTTTATGCTGTAGGCCGCATCCACAAACATGTAATAAAAGCTGGATTGTACCTATATAACTGTTTGCCATCTAACACAGTGGCTCTTAAACACCTCGCCATCGATTGATGCTGGGCTACCGCCTGCCTCCTACCAGGCCACAGCCTCCTGTCTCCTCCAGAGTCTACAGCTGGGATAGCCCCAAGAACCATACAGCATGCCAGTGGCAGTCCAGCCCATGAACTGAAACTCTTCCGTCCTCTTCCCTATGAACGCAGTGCTTGGAGTGTGCCTTCACTGTGTTTTTAGAATCAAAGCTGAATGTCCAACTGTTGGGAGAGATTCTCTTTCCCCAAAGGGTAGCACAGATATCCACTTGGTGATCAGGTGCTCAAAGCAGTTGCACAAAATGCAGGAGCAGCACTTGGGCAGACTGGGGAAATCAGCAGCAGCATGGGTAAATGGGGAAGATCTACACTGAATGACATGCACCTAGCATTGCATGGGAATAGAATGCTACAGCGCATGTTCTTATCATGGTAAGTGACCTTCAGTTGGACAGATGTGTCACCTGCCTAGTCTCTACTATGTATGTCTATTGATCTACCTTCCAGTCATGTAATGCTTACATGACTGCAAGATAGAAAAATAGCTTAATTTGACACATTTTGTTATGTTATGGATTAAATTCATTTCTTTCCTCAACATTCTACAAACAATACCCCATAATGTAACTTGTTGTGGTCCCAGTCATTTTTGCTCTAGGAATCCCACATGTGTTGTACCTTGCTGCAATGCATATTAACACACAATAGTGTGTTGCTTTACAAAAAATTAAAATGGGCCCTTTACTGCTGGGATATGGAAGGTTTATGAAGAACTTACCAGGCCCTAGTCACACACAGAACTACTGATCTAATATGTCTGAGCATCTTAAAAACCTATATCGGTATACAAACTATCTTAGCACAGGGATAGTAGAAAACCTGTAAACAAAAACTTTGGGAAGTGGAGAAATGTAGCTCCCAAATGGTTTTCAAACTTCAAGAGAACTTTTGTTTTTATTGCTGTTTATTGTGTATAACTCCCTTTTCAGTTCATTACCATTCTAGAGTTAGACGCTGTTGTTCCCAGCATTCTCATGCCATGCGATACGCTTTAATTATTTGTACTGTTAGAGTGTGGTAGAATATAGACAGTCTCTGGCTTCTCCAATGAATTTCCTTTTGATGGTGAGACAGCTCTCTGTCAAAAGTACACAAGCAAAAAATACAAACTTGTTTCACCGTGTTGGAGGCGAGCAGAACACCATGCTTTGCCTTGGGCATTGTGAGCTTGAACTAGTAATTAGACTGTGAGATGAGTGCACTTCCTGCAGATTTTTCTTGCTAAGCAGCCGTTAAGTAGGATTCTCCATGAGAATACACACACAGCTTGAACTGTTACAGATGGGAGGATGTTAACAAGGATGTCCAGGAAGAATAAAGTATTCATTAGCTTCAAAGTTCCTTGATTGACTGATGATGTTCAAATATGATGTAGATATTGTAATTCATTCCTTGCAAATATTATAAACAGGTGATTATGTACCCATGGGGAAAAAAAAAAGACTGTATAGTCAGCAAAAGTTGCTATTACATGGTTGGTACAAACTATTTTGCACAGAGGGGAATGCTTACAATGGTCGCAAACAGGGGCGGACTGATCATTTGGAAACTCAGGCAGTGCCCGAGGGTCCGGGGTCAGTAGGGGGCCCCATGAGATGCCCCTGGTACCTTTTGCATAGGCTTTTTTGAGTTTGGGCAAGGACACAGGGGCCCCATGATCCCCTATTGCCCAGGAGCCCCATGAGTTGTCAGTCCGCCCCTGGTCGCAAACCTGCTGCTGCAAGTCCTTAAAGAGCATTAGCTGATGATGCACATTATTTGTTTGTCTTTTACTTTTAAGTTCATATAAAAATACATATTCATCCAAGACTACGCTGTCCATAAGGGGACAATTACAGAAAGCATTCCTCCCAACCATTCCAGAATGGGCTGGACTATCCCTATATTTCTTGAAGTTCTGGCACTGGGCTCCACTAATCCCTCTGCTCTGATCTGACTCTGATCCACCTGCAAAGCAGTTGGATTCTCCTCCTCTTGCCAACTGCTCTGCAGGGGAATTTACAGTGTCTGCACTCGGCTCCCATCCCCCTGCCCCCACTGTTCTAATTTTCACATCTTCTGTGTGTCACCCCACCTACCACTCCGATCCCTCTGTGTGCCCCCCTTCCCACAGAACTGCTGGATCTTTTTCTCTCCCTCCAACTGGCTGTGTGGCACAGGAGGATTGGATTCATGATAGAGAGCTGGGGTCTGGTAAATGTTATATATACCAGCCCCTTCGTTTCTTGAATGAACACAGTGAACAATCGATATTAATTGCTCCTGTGTTCATTCATAACTGAAGCATACACTTCAGTTCATTCACTGTCCAGTGCAGCTGAGGTTACAGAGAAAGATACTGAGGAATTTATGTCCTCAGTCCCTTTCTCCATCTCAAAAGTGAGATCTCTGATATTTCACCAAAGCTTCCCAACATGCCTGTTAAAAATGTACAAAAAAAAAACAAACAAAATTCAGAGCAAAAAATTCAAATAAAAGGTCCTTGCAGTATTAGAAGTATTATACTCACCAGTGCCTCCAGCTGCCAATGTTATCTACCTCTCCCCTATTCCAAAGCTGCAGCCTCTGTCAGTGTCTTTACAATTGAACACTTTCACGTGTCAGATGCCTGAGGTGTACCTTGCTTCCTTGCTTTGACATCTACATCAGTGTTGAGTCCTGTAGAGATGTAGGGGTCGAAAGATGGAACCACAGTGTGCAGTGGGCAACACACGTGTCTAACACTCCCAGAAGTGTTAAATGTTGAACAGATTGGCAAAGGATGCAATACTGGGGAGGTAGTAGACATTGGCATCTATAATACTCATTCTATTGCCGGCACCTTTCATTTGTATTTGCAGTCTTGATTCTGAAAACTGTAACCAGATTAAAGTACATACTGAATGCTGTGATCATATCAATTCAATACAGAATGCAGAATGCAGAATGCAGAACAAAAAAAATTATTAAATCTTTACAGTAGTCAAACCCAAAAATTGTGGCGTACGTCTTATAAAATATGGTCAGAGTTCTTGCAGCTATAATGTTGTAGCAGATGTGTGATTTTTAGTGGATCAATAGTAGTACTAAAATTATGAGTAATTATTTCTTAAGGGGTCTGTTTATAAATGATTCCCCTCAAGATATGTACAACTTTTACCCAAGATTCACACATTCTTCTAATTGGATTCAATAGGAGAAATATGTGAAAGTTATGTGAATCAAGAGTGAAAACATTTAAAAATAAATGCCTAAGAGTTGCAATTAGTCACCACACAAATAGAAAAAATGAACTACACCAGTCTCATTTGGTGCATTGTGGGTCACAATAGCAACCACATTATGCTTGTGTAGCTCACACCATTGGGAGTCCATCTGTGTAGTGAATAATCGCTGTTTTTGGTGATCAATCATTAATGATTTTAAAAGCATAGTTGAGCTACAAAAAATCATTAGTTTGATCTGCACTTATGAGAGTAAACAAAATAGGCATACATTGTACTGGATGGCAAAAAAGACACACATGCACAAACCTAGCATGTAGATAAATAGATAATGCAAAAACAGTTTGTAGGCTGTATTTACACACAATTATACATACACTGGAGGGGGAAACTATTTTGTAACATATAGAGCAGGCAGCTGACACAATGGTAGTATGGGGGGAGAACAGGGGCGGACTGACAAATCATGGGGCTCCCGAGCAATAGGAGATCATGGGGCCCCTGTGTCCTTGCCCAAACTCAAAAAAGCCTATGAAAAAGGTACCAGGGGCATCTCATGGGGCCCCCTACTGACCCCGGGCCCTCGGGCAGTGCCCAAGTTTCCAAATGGTCAGTCCGTCCCTGGGGGAGACCCCAATATTTGACCAATGTCCTTCATCTTATCATTTGCTAAGCATACTTATTTGGTGTGCTTATTCAATATGTCAGTCATGTGACATTGATTGACATTTTCACTTATGTGGTTGTGGATGTACCCAATAAGAATAAGCACTCTTTCATTTTATTCTCTGCTTTCAGTTAAAATTGTCTTTGATTTTTGCTGAAGCATATCTTTGTGCACTCTTAAGATGCTTTCCAATAACCCCCCCAGTTCATCATTGACCTCCTCCTGAATTGTCCTTTTGAGTCGCTGGCTGTCCTTCAATGGACGTTCTTCTTACGTGAATGTGTCCCATTGTTATCTTTCTATTACTCATTCTCTACATTGAATGTAGTGGATTTTATCTTTTCTAATAATCCTTCCTCAATAGAAAAAAAAAATGAAAAAAAAAAATCATATGCTTAGCCATTGTGCTAAAACATGGTTGGCCATGTATTGTTCTATAGTTATCATCTCTGTCCCTTAGATACACAGACATGCAGATGGCGTACCTATAGAAAACTCATGCCTGCTGCAAAGCTATAAACTCAATCTGAGGGTGACCTGCAGGCATATTAAACTCAAAGTTGGCTCGTGCTACTGTGATATCGAGTCACATCTAAATCTTTTTAAGGTGACAGAAAAGCCCCTTGGGGACTTAAACAAGTTTGTGAAAGAGGATTTCCATAGATCTTTTCATGTTGCTTCCGCATCACAACCTCTGTTTGGAAACTGTTTAAATTATCCCCCCTATATTTGTTTTCAAATCTAATTTAACCTGCGGCGAAAAGTGTTCTCGTCTTTACAATAAGAGCAAACAAATTTATAACCCTGAGGAGAAGATAATGCTTGGTTAATCAAACTGTCACTTCTCCCGCAGAAAGAACAATTGTGACTTACTGCTTACAGGCAATTAAGAGATCTTTTCTGTGTCATAGTAGGAAATTGCTGCAGCTGGTTATATACCATACACAAGTTCAGTCCGGTGGTAAGTGCTGTGCCCATCAAATACTGAATTTTACTAATCAGACCTATCACAGGCCAGCAAAATGTATGTAAGTTTATTGTGGCACAGCACTGTAGTTGCATTGCAAAATAGTTGGCAAACCAGTAAAGGGGAAAAAAACACTATATAGAAATGTTAACTGAATTTATGTTTGCCAACCTCCAGACCACTAAGGGTGTTCTCCAGGCAGATATGAATCCCCCAATTAATGCAGTTTTGGATTTATTCATAAATATTTTAATGTATTGTTAAATTACTGTGAGCACCTATCATCTTAATATTAGCCTCTTTTAAACCCATGTACAGTGACTGTCATACTGGAAGGGAGGGGCAGAAGTTGGATCTTTTGATCCAGGCTTGTATTTATTGGTGCTCTTTACCAGTGTTGATGGTGCAGTAGAGTTTGAGAACATGGCGGTATTACCCAGCAAGGGTGCCTGCATCACAAATCGTAGGGGAATGGAAGGAAGTGAGTGTCAAATGGTCAATAAGTAGTCCATAAATCCTTTATTCTTGATTGCAAATTCAAGTAGAATTAGTCTACTAGCTGTGAGTTTGCTGGTAAGAAGATAGTATTTATGGATTTCTGGTTGACCATTTGGGACTTTATTCTCACCTAATCTCCTTAAGTAGTGTGGGTTCCACTTCTGAGAGTACGCCCCCACCCCCACTTTCTGTTTGGCAAACAGCCAAGATCCATTCCATATGTTTATTCCATGTGACAATAGAGTCACACATGTGGGCATATAGACAGTGATGAATGACAGCCCACTCCCTCCCCAGCCAACCCTGTGTGTGTGTAATAGTGGCGGCACATTGAACTTCCCTCCTGTATAGTGAAAGAGAAACACAGAAACACTTCTCTTATGGCAGAGCCGATTAGGGGGAGATCTTTCTCATCTCCCTGCAGCAGAAAGATAATACTAAAGCCGACCATAGATGGAATGAGTATCAGCTGGTTCAGCAGGGACCAGACAAAATTTGATGCATCTATGGGCAGGTTAGTTGTACTGAAGTCGATCCATCAATCAACTTCACTACAACCAGCCTGTCGGATTATTTTGCATGCAAAAACAGCCGGAAGCTATAGGCGCCAGCATAATCATTATGACCTGCCAGCAGAGAAGGCACCATGCTGGCAGAACACAATAGCGCTGTGGGAGGGATTACCCCCATCAGCACTGACTGTGTTGATGAGGGAATCAAGAGATTTTTTTCCGGCAACCCCTGGTTGCAGGAAAGAAAATTACATCATCTATGCATTGTCTAATGCGCACAGGATGATTAGGGTGTGCCCAGGCACAAGCGGCAGACCCTGTGCGTATGCCTATGCCTCTGGGGATAGGATATAAGGTGTTGATCAATGGAGTCCTCATTTCCCTGTTAGTCCAATACACACCAAAAAAACAGATTGGAAGGGCATGACATGACCTGTGATTGGCAAAACCTCATCCAGATATATTTACAATGTAAACAAAGTGAAAACTATTGTCAGTCAACTTAAAGTGTTACTAAACCCAGGACCCTGCATTCACTATATTTGGTCTCCCACAGTACACAGAACATGGACATGCAGTGCAATGCTTATCTTATGACTTTTATCAGTGTATAGCAGAGCACTGGTTAAAGCTTGTAGGAGAAGTTTTCATTCTCTTCTCACTGTCCTGTGAGACTGCAGAGACTGCAGGACCCATGACCCTCTGTCTGGACAGTGCTGATTGGCCCTGTGCTGATCACATGCACTCCCAAGAAAAAAAAACTCTCTAGAAATACACACCAAACCGAGCATGTGCAGCTTGCCCCCAAGGCTATATCCTTCCTTAGATCTTTCTC